GCTCTTCTGCGGCTGCGGGAGGCGTTACCATGTCTATTGATCCTTCCTTGCTCCAGCTCTTTCAGGACATCCACGTAGTTAACATTATCGATGGACGATGCATAGCAGTTACACTGACAGGCGAGAAAGGCACGCTGCAATTGATTAACTTTCACCTCGACCCTACCCTCTCCGACGTTGAGAAGGATCGTGTGATCCGCGCGGTTGCTGCTCACGCTCTGCCTGCTGATCAGGCCACAGTCATCTTGGGAGGCGATTTTAACTTCTTGGAGGAGGGGGAGATGAGGACGTTCACAGACGGAAGGGAACCCACCCCTGAGAGGACCGCTATTCTACACATGTTTTCTCGGGCTTTCGGACACTTTGCTGAAGTTGCCCAACAGGAGCCCACTCATCGGACTGGGAGGAGGGAGGACGGTGCTCTCAGCCTTGGTCGCCTGGATAGGTTCTACATCTCTTCTGCCACCACCGACATTCTTGATGCGACACCAAGAAGCGGTGTCATAGGTCTTGCTCATGATGTCGCCCAGCCGAGCGACCATATCCCTGTTTGGCTTCAGTTTTCGCCTGGCGGCAGAACTACCCCGACGATCCCCTCCTGGATCGCCAAACATCCTGATTTTGGTTCTGAGGTTGATACTGCCATAAGTTCGGTTGAAATGCCCCGGGACCCGTTCGAGTACCTCCTGTCCGTCAAAGACGCGATGTATGTTGCCAAGAATGCTCTGATGACTCGCATGTTCTTCCGAGGCCCCAACAATGATGCGCAGAAGTTGTCGGTTTACCTGAAGTTTCTACGGGCTGTTCGGGATGGCAAGTCTTGGGACGTTCGGAGGAGTATCCAGGCTATTCCTCATCTTAGTCTGCATGTTCATGCTGATGAATGTTGTTTTAGAGATTCTGTGTCTTTTTATCGGGAAATGGCCGAGCTCCAGCATTCTCTGCTTCAGCGAGAAATTCGCGAACACGTCGAAGGCGGCGGAGCCCCTGACGACGATCGAGGCCTCAGGTTGCACCAGCTTCTGCGACAGTGGTCTCCCAAAAGGCGCCGAATCGTTCTGGTTTCGGTCCCCGACCCCACCGGGAACCCCTCGCCTGATCTCGAAGTCAGTGCTCAGAACCTTGCGTCCCACTGGGGACGGGTCCATGCCGCGAAGCCTCAGGACAGGGGATACCACTTCCAGAAGACACTGTTGAGCAGTGAGATTCAGCAGGTTGCCCCAGGTATCGAGTGGACGCTCGACCTGCATAGCTTCATAGGTAGGCTCGTCAGCCGCAAGGACAGCGCGACTGGCCCTGACGGAATTCCCTACAGTGCCTGGCGGTTCGCTGGAGACGCTGCTCACAATGCCTTGTATCAAGTTTATCTCGCTATATTGGACAATCCTACATACGGGCCCCCGCATAAAGGCTTCAACGAGTCTCTCACGGTATACCTCCCTAAGGCCATCTGCCCTCACGAAGCTGGAACCTCTGAGATCTCTCGGGAAGCGTCTGTGGTTCGCCCTATTGCTCTCAGCAACACTGATAACAAAATAGTATCATTGGCCATATGTGAACCATGTAGCCAGCAATGCCAGTACAGCGTCTTAGGCTCCCAGACGGGTTTCGTGCGCAAGAGGTCCATGCTCGACAACTTACTCTGCCTTGAGGCAGACATTCTTGAATACGCCTGCTATCGCGGCATGCCGCACGCTGGGCTACTCCTCTTGGATTTCCGCGCCGCGTTCCCGTCGCTGCGCCACGACTGGATCATAGATGTGCTAATCATGATGAACATACCCATGTATATCGTGAATGCCATTCGGTTCCTATACACCGGTATTTACACACACATATGCCTAGCAGGAAAGAAGTTTCCAGGCTACTCGATCACCCAAGGCATTAAACAAGGATGTCCGCTGTCAGGTGCTTTATTTGCGTTATGCATCGACCCGCTGCTGCGCCGATTGTCAAACTTGCTAGCTCCTGTTTGTGCTACCCCTCGTGCCTTTGCAGATGACATCCGGATCTCGGCATCCAACCTGTTGCTCGCTGTTCCGATTGTGCTGAAGAATGTTATTAGGTCCAGCCGTTGCACTGGCCTGCTCTTGAACCTTGCCAAGTGTATGATCGTGCACGTGCAAGAGATGCCAGACGACCAGCATTTCGCCCTGTTCGAGTCCGTTCGCACCAACGTTCGCTCGCTTATGCACGGCACTAGTGGCAAAGTCTTGGGTGTCTTTCTGGGCCCTGGAGGTAACGGGAAATCCTGGTCCGCTCCGCTTCAGAAATATATTAATCGTGTCCGTCATGTTCGGTCGCTTCGTCTTGGGCTTACTCAAAGTATCTATGCATATAACTCCTTGGCCTTCTCGGTTCTCACCTTCGTGATGCAGCTATGTTACATATCGCAGGGCGCTCTTCGCATGGAAACCAAAGGTTTGCAGACTCTCACCGCATGCCCCTTCTACAGCATCCCTACTGATCTTCTCCGCAATCTCTCGTCTGCGTTGCATTGGCCCATTGCCCCGCGCAACCTAGTGCTGGAGAATCAGGCTGCCATGTATCGGGTCGCTGTTCGGTCTAAGGTTTTTGATAGCATTCGGAAGCGCTTTCATGAGCTTGAGGAAGAGGACTTGGATGTTCTGATGGTCAAGCGATACCCGGCATGGCGTGCCGAGTCCATTGTTTTCCACCTGATTCACAATTACGAGCGACTAACTGCCCTGCCGTGGAACCACTTCGATGAGGACACTCACGAGTTGCAGAGACAGATTTTGAAGAAATTGATTTCTGAGGCCCCTTGTAGCTCCGCGAGTTTTCTCCTGGGCAATCGAATTCGGTTCGCTTTTCCCTTTGCTGATGCCTCTAGTATCGACCTTGCGGTGCTCAGGCTCCAAATTGCCTGCACGCGCGTCGGCCCATTTGTGGCTGCGGCCATTCTCAAAACCATCTGCAACGCGTGGGCGACCTCTGCCAGGTATAGGCAAGGCCGTCTTACCTGCCGTTTCGGTTGCCTGGCCACAGGCGGCGACCACGTCCAGCATTACTTCGATTGCCCTCATGTCCTGAGCTTGCTCCATTCTGTTTTGCCCTCCCTGCCAGTCGAATATTTGAATCAGAGCCTCGATGCGCGTATGCTGTGCACTATGCCATGCCAGTCTAGTCAGCAGCTGTTCTCTTTGTTTCTTGTGCACGACCTGCTCTTTTCTACCTTTAACTCCTTGAGGAGCTCGCACAGGTACGGGCCCGAATGCCTGCTGCCTCTCCTGCGCGCGCGTGCCCGCCACATTGCCAAGAAGGGGCGCGGCGTGCGGAGCCTGCTCATCAGGAGGCCCGCGGCAGAGGGCAGCTGAACTGCCCCCCTCTCTGGCGCGCTCAGGGGAGTGCGATCATCGTCATTGCCATGGTTGACGTCGTCACCCTCAGGGCCATCACGGTCGTCACTGCCAGCGTCCTCATTGCCGTCGTCATCACCATCATCTTCGTCATCGTCACCATCGTCGTCATCATCCCACCGTCGTCATCAAGGTCGTCGTCATCGTCATCGCTGTTGTCGTCGCCCTTGTCGTCAGCGCCATCATCATTATTTCCATCAGCACCAGCCCGCCCGAGCCATGGATCCCGATGACGAGCGCCCTTCCGCCAGTACGCTAGTTGAGTGCTGCCAGTTGGTTGCTTGAAAGAGTGTGTGGTTGCACGAGCATTGGGGGCGGTCACGCGCAGATGGTAACAAGGTAAGGTGCACCGCATATATGTTTATTTTACAACACATGCGACATTCCATACGTCCCTTCTCTTTGGCACCATGTTAACCAGCGCGGACCTCAAGCAGTAGACTCTTGCACCCTCCATGTACAACCCATGCGTTGCAAGCTGTGCCATGTGGTCTGTGTCTGATGATGCGTATTGATTGCAAGCTATGTGGCGAACGCTATGATGTGTGGTGCGCGCTATGTGGTGCAAGCTGTGTGGTTCCAGCAAGGTGCTGTATTCTAAGCTATGTGCTGCGAGCTATGCGGTGCAAGCTAGGTGGTCAACCCCCCTCCATCCTCTTTCACCTCCTTCGTATTTCCGTGTATCCTGATTTCTACGTGTTCCGTCCTTCTTCGTTTCTCTCTGAACCGTCCCCTCCACCATCGTGGCACTACGAATCCTGCGCCTGCACCTGGCCAGAACCCAAGCGCGCAAGAAGCGAGCGCGTGTGGTTGTATTCGGTCTATAGGTGCATCGAGTTACATGCCTTGTGTATGTATACATGTAAACATGAGTCTATGTCTGTGCACACGTATTTGGACACATGTGTGCAAATACATACACACGGGCATCCGGTATATATACATACGTACATGTTCATATGTGAACACGTAGCTATAGGGGGCGTGATTCTGCTTCATGGTTCATAAGGGGTTCGATCAGGCTTCAGTTCGTCCAGGGCAATGACGTTTGGAGCTGTTCGCGGCCCAACAAAGACTTGACAATGATCCAGTTTGAATTTCTGTTAGTGGATTAATCGTTTGTTCTTACCCCTTCCCCCCCGAAGGCCTTCAGCACGCTGCGCCGGTCCCTTTTTCACCCTCATGCACCACCGCCGCGTTTTCGTCCTGATCCTTATCACTGCCACGCCCCCTGTTTCCGTACCCAAGGCAGTACACTTGCGATCGTGGTTTTGAGGTACGATGTAACAGCTTAGTGGGATACGCAGAGCCGAATTGGATGCTCTCTCACTCGTCGAATTTCATTGCTCCCTTCCTGGGCCTCTCGTTTTTCAGTCACCCTTCCATTCCTTTGACTCTGGTCCCTTTCTTCCTGGCGTGGCCTTTGGGAGAAGGTGGGCATGGGCGCAGGGTTGTGTCTTCGCGCTTCTGTTCGAACTGTTGGCCCTTCCGTTGTGGTTCCTGGATCAGGCGGCGCCTAGTAAGCCCTCTCACATTAGCCCGACCCTCGCCATCTCTGCGCTCCTCCAGATCGGCCGCCTTTTGGTCCCTCCCGTCTGCTCTTCCCGCTCCCACGCGCAGGCCATCCGCCAGCCACAGACATCAGCTCGCCGTTCCGAGCGGAGATGCGAGGAGGAGGAGGAAGAGGAGGAGGGGGAAGAGGGAAGAGGCAAGAGTTGGACAGAGGCGGAGGAGGTGAAGTAGGAACAGGAGAAGGAACAGGACGAGGGATGAGAGGCTTGAAGTCGGCCTGCCACACCAGGCTTGGCGCGTGGGAGGAACTGCAATGCATGTGCTTGGAATCGCCTCGAGGGCGTGACTTGCCGCTGGGGTTTTTACAGTCTTGAACTTGAGACACATTGGAGTTGTGCGACGATCTGTTCACATGTGCGTGTCATCGTCGAGCTCGTCCGTCCGTGCTGTTGGCGCAGTCGAGCTTCCTACAGTTAGGAGCCAGTTTCGGGCCTGGCGCCCACCTTTGCCCGGCCACATGGTATGGTCATTCCCCAGACAGTGCTCGGGGTTCCTACTTTTGGAAGAATGGCGGCCATTTTGCCGCCGTCGCCGCCCCGTCGCCGCCTTGTCGCCGCCCGCCGTCTGGGCCTGGCGGTCGGTCTGGCGGCTATGTTGCCGCCATCGCCGCCCCGCCGTCCGGGCCTGACGGTGGGTCTGGCGGCTATGTTGCCGCCGTCGCCGCCCCGTCGCCGCCTCGTCGCCGTCGCCGCTCGTCGCCGCCGTTACTTTTCGTTTTCTAGAAGAGTTGCAGTATCTCCCCCGCCCGATTTAACCGCTCACCTTTCCTTATTGCAATTTACACATGATTCTGGCCCATCGTCCATCCGAGGTAACGCCCACCTCATTTATTGCAAAAAATAATATGCGCGCGCGTTCGTTCATCATAGAACAAAAAATGTCCATAATCCCTTGCAAACAACTGATGAAGTGTACACGCGCGCGTCGTCGCGCGCGCATGCCGAAATCGCTCCAAAACCTTAGATTCAGCAGGGGGTTCAAACTCGAGTGTTCCGGAAACAAATAAAACACATGGTTCTGCAACAAGAATGCTCAACACAAAAACTTGCGCTCGGGCACTTGTGATTCTGAAGACATCCATCGGTGTTTCAACATTTTCTGCTACCAAACGGCCCGCTCGCGCGCGCATGTCGGAATCGCTCAAACGCCCTTGCGCGCGTGCTGTCGCCAGAGTCCCTTGCAACATATGGGACGAAGTGTGCGCGCGCGTTGTCGCGCGCTCGTGCCGGAATGTTTCAAACACAGTAGGTTTCGTAAGGATTTCAAAGCCGAGTGTCCCGAAAGCAAGAAACATGCATGGTTTCGCAACACGATTTTTCAAGCATGCCTGCGCTCGCGCTCTGGCAAATTCTGAAGAAAACCATCGGCTTTCCAATATTTTTTTTTGATTATGCCAAACAGGTCCCTCGCGCCGCACGTCGAAAACATCGGGACGCCCTGGCGCGCGTGCTGGGGGGGAGGGGCACAACCGGTGTCAAATAGTAAATGCGGGCCGCTCTCGCGCGCCGGCCGCGCGCGCAAGTCGAACTCCTTCCAAAACTTTCACCGCCGACTCGAGGGCGCCGTCATCGTCGTCGGCGTGATTCGCGCTGGCGCTGTCACTGGTCTTGCCGTCGTCGTTGTCATCGTCGTCGTCAGCATCGCTACCGACATAATACGTCTACCGTTGTGGACCTTGCCATGGTACCGCGCCTGCCCAAGTCGCCGACTCGCACTGAAGTGCTCGCTGGGAAGTGCCCAGCGGTCTGCGCCACCGCGGACACGTCGGTAGCGCCAGACTATCTGGCCGCTGCGCGCGCGAGCATGCACGGGCTAGCGCGACGCAGTCATCACAATAACCGCCGCATGGGTTTTGCAAACCAAGTTGCGGGTGGGTGGGTGGGAAGGTTGCGCGTGCAGTGGCGTAGACATTTCACGGCGAACAGGAACAGAAATTAAAGGGCACCACATACATTACATCATATAGATATGAACCACATAGAATGCATAGCGTAGAGTACACCACACAGGTTGCGCAACACATCTTGGACAGCATAGACTGCACCGGTAGACTGTGCATCACCTCTTCACCGGTCTAAACAAGAATTTGGATCAACCCCTGCTGGAATTATCGATCCACTTGGGATATGTGCAATTTACATGCGATTCTGCCCCATCGTTCATTCCGAATATAAGTTCGTGCCATCCTGGCTGGGTTCGACACCCCCCAGTATCCCCGTCAAATAAACTATGCGCGCGCATTCGTTTATGAAAAGTCCCCCATGTGCAAGACCCCCTTGCAAACAATGGGCAGAAGTGCGCACGCGGTCGTCGTTGTGCGCGCATGCCAGAATCAATGTTTTTTTGGTTCTGTAAGGGTTTCAACATCGAGGGCCCCGAAAACATAAAGATCTCATTGTTTTGCAAACTGATTTTTCAAAACAGGTATGTGCGCGCGCTCTTGTGAACGTTCTCCTTTCTTGTAAAACAAACAAATCATCACATGCGCCCAAGCGGGCCGCTCGCGCGCACATTTCGGGACCATTCGAGCGTCCTGGCGCGCGTTCGGGGGGGGGGGGGGGGCACGATCCCTGTGAAATTATAGCATGCGGCCCACTCGAGCCCGTCGGCCACGCGCGCATATCGAAAACGTTCCGGCACCTTCATCAACGGTACGTGGACACCGTCATCGTCATCGGCGTGATCAGGATCGGCGCCGTCATTGGCCTTGCCGTCGTCATCGCCATCATCGTCACCAGCGTCGCTACTAACATCATCATATGTGCCGTTCGTCGACGTGACCATGGCATCAGGCCCGCCCGAGTCACCGAGTCGCACAAAAGTGCCGGCGCGTCAGCGCGGCCTGCAAGACGCGTTGGGAAGTTCCAGCGCCACAGCGGCCGCGTCGGTTGCGCAAGCTGGCCGTTCTACGGGCGAGCTTGCGCGCGCTGGCGCGGCCGCAGTGATGCAGCAACCAGCGCCAAGCAGTCATCGCAATCGCCGCCGCAAGGGTTTTGCAAAACAAGTTGCGGATGGTTGGCTGGGGTGATTGCGCGAGCAGTGGAGTTAACGACTTCATGTTCGGCAGGGAGAAATGCACAACGTTGTTGGTACCACATGCTTTGTGTCACCTAGACTGCACAACGTGCATGCAGCACGTAGATTGTGCCACAGAGATTGCGCACCGTATGTTGCACCAGTGCGTTGCGCCGCATAGGTTGCGCCGCAAATATTGCGGCACATACATTACACCACATAAGCGGCGCAACATCTATCTCTCCATTTAGATTGCACCACGTCGGCTGCACCTCATAATCTGCGCATCGCATAGATTCCCTTAAAGAGAGAATAGACTCTACCCCCCCCGGCGTTATCGGCCCCCCTTTCGGGTATGTGAATCATATATGATGATGACCACATGTCCATCCTATATATGAATCTACACTACCCCAAGGGAGCCGGTATCGCGCCCCCTGAGGTTCCCTTGTGAAGAAGTCATACGCGGGGAATTTGCTTGTTCGAGCATAAGACTCTTCACGAGTCTCTTACAAAACATATGACGAAGTGCACACGCGCGCGTCGTCGCGCGCGCATGCCGACATCCTCAAAAACTTTCGGTGTCGAAAAAAGATTTAGCAATCGAGTTTCCATAAAACATACATCAACACATGGTTTTGCAACATTGATTTGCTAAAAAAGCTTACGCGAAGGCTTTTGCGAAATCTTAAGAAAACCATATGTTTTTTCCCAGTATTTTCACAAAATGCTACCAAACGGGCTTCGCGCGCGCATGTCGAAATCTGTCGAACGCCCTTGCGCGTGTGCCGTCGCGAGAATCCTCTGCAAAGAATGGGAAGAAGTGCGGACGCGCGCGTCGTCGCGCGCGTATGCCGAAATTCTTCAAAACCCATCGGTTTCGGACATATTTCAAAATCGTGTGTCCAAACAGCCTACAACAACATACGTTTTCGCAACACGGATGTTCAACAAAAGCGTGCGCGCGCGCTCTTGCGTCGTCGTCGTCGTCGTCGTCGTCGCCGTCCTCCCTCCTCCCGCGTCGTCGTCGTCGTCGCCTACGTCGTCCTCTGTCTTTCCTCGTGTTCGTCGTCGTCGTCCTCTTTGGCGTCGTGGTCGTTTCCGTCGTCGTTGTCGCCGTGGTCGCCCTTCCTCCTCCTCCCTCGCCGTCGTCGTCGTCCGTCGTCGGCGTCTCGTCGTCGTCCCTCCTATTTCGTCGCCGTCGTCGTCGTCGTCGTCGTCGTCGTTGTCGTCGTCGTCGTCTTTTCTCCTCCCTCGTCGTTGTCGTCGTCGGCTTCGGCGTCCTTCCTCCTTCTTCGTCGTTCGCCTCGTCGCCATCCTCCCTCCTCCCTCGTCGTTGTCGTCGTTGTCGTCGATGTCGCCGTCGTCGTCCTCCCTCCTCCCTCGTCGTCGTCTTCGTTGGCGATGTCGTCGTCGTCGGCGTCGGCGTCGGCGTCGTCGTCGTCTTCGTCGTCGTCGACGTCGGCGTCGTTGTCGTCGCCGCCGTCGTCGTCGTCGTCGTCGTCGTCGTCGTCGTCGGCGTCGTTGACGTCGTCGTCGTCGTCGGTGTCGTCGTTGTCGTCGTCGTCGGCGTCGTCATCGTCGTCGTCGTTGTCATCGTCGTCGTCGTCGTCGGCGTCGGCGTCGTCGTCGTCGTCGGTGTCGTCGTCGTCGTCGTCGTCGTCGTCGTCGTCGTCGTTGTCGGCGTCGTCGAAGTCGTTGGGGACGTCGTCGGCGTCGTCGTAGTCGTTGTCGGCGGCGTCGTCGTCGTCGTTGTCGCTTTCGTCGTCGGCGTCGCTGTCGTTGCCAAGTGCAATTTGGTACCCACCGTCACGGTCTTAAGAGATTTAGCAAACCAAGTTGCGGGTGGGTTGGTGGGATGTTTGCGCGAGCAGTGAAGTGGACAACTTGTTTGTTAAAATCAGTTTCACCACATAGATTGCACCATATATGTTGCACAACGTAGATCTCCATGCCACTACGTACATAGCCCCACATACATTGCACACCATGTATGGCTACCAACACGGTCGTTGGGGCCCACGCTGTCTAAACATTTGTTGTTTGGAAATATGAAATAATCGGTCCCGCGCACGCCGTCGATTCCAAGGCCTTTTACAAGTACGATCCGCCCATCGTGTTGGTCCGGGCCTCTGGTGAGGAGGACCTGTTACGGGATTGCCCCTGGCGCGCCTGGACTTTTTACAGAAGAGCTTTTGCAAGGGATTCGAAAGTGGGCGGGCCCAGCTCTGGGATAATCGTCCAGAGCGCCCTGGCACGTTCTCAGAGCATTCTGCAGCGCTCCGGAACGGTCGCTGCGCCCGACATGTTAGGCGTTGCGTAGTTGGGGATTGCGTAAGTGGGGGGAAGGGGGCGAAGAACGGCACACCTTTTGTGCACCTCAGGGGCCCTAAAGGGGCTTCCTGGGGCCAAAAAGGGGCCCGAAATGTGCACGGTCCTTCGCCCCCCCCCGCTTCACGCGCCCCAAGTTGAGCAACGCCCAGATATACACCCTTCAGAGCCGACGGACCTCAGAGACTTCCGCTTCGTCCCGGCTCGATCCTGCTCCAGTTTTGGCCTCGTTTCGCCCGAGCGGCGGCAGCGGAGCTCCCGCAGGACGCGCTGGTCTTCCGAGCAGCGGCAGTTATGCGTGGCCTCCGGTCTTCCGGTCTTCCGCTGTCCGTTTTTGATCGTGGCCTCGTTTCGCCCGAGCGGCGGCAGCGGAGCTCCCGCAGGACGCGCCGGTCTTCGTGCCCAAGCAGTCGTCCGCCGAGCCGCCGTCTCCAGCGCACCCGCGGCCCGAGGCGGCTCCTCCCGCGCGCGGCCCAGGGGCGCGGAGGGAGAGAGGTCGGGGCCCACGTAAGAGGTAGGGCCCCCCCCCCAAAAAAATAAAAAAAATAAAAAAATAAAATAAAAAAAAGAAAAAAACATGCGAGCCCTACCCCTACCCCCCCACGATTTCTGAGGGGGAGGGGGGGGGGTTCACGTCGCTCGGGAGCTCCCGAGCGACGTGAGCCCCACCCTCCCCCCCAGAAGTCGTGGGGGGGTAGGGGTAGGGCTCGCATGTGGCCCAGCTAGGAGCGCGTGTCTTCAGCAGGGGCATGATAGGCTCCTGGCCCCCCTTTCCCCACCTCCCAGTAACGTAACGTCCTTCTCCCCCGGTGCGCTCCGGGCACTGCCGCCGTGCGCACGGCGGGGGGGGAGGCGTTACATTACACCCCCCCCCCTGGCCCCTCCCCCCCCTACAATGCTTATGATCGCCGAGAATAAAGAAACGCGCTCTAATGGGGGTCAGCTAGAACGGGGGGCGGTCGATCCTCTCTGGCTCACCCGGGTTTGGGAGCCACTTGGGGCCGATTCCCCCTTTCCGCCCTCCGCTGACACGGGCGTGGGAGCTACTAAGCGGCTGACTTGGCTTCGCGACGAGGTCCTGGCCGACCTGGGTTTGGGCTGACCCCATAGCGCGTCCCCGAAAGAAGAGCAGTGGCAGGAACGATGGGGGGAGGGGGGGGTGGGCGAGGGGCGGCGATGATGGTTTGGAGGAGGGGAAGTGGGGGCAACGATGAGGTGGAGGAAGGCAGGACCGATGAGGGGGAGGAGGGGAGGAGGGAAAACGATGAGGGCGGAAACGAGGGCGCGGAGGAAAACGATGATGAGTTGGAGTGGCATCAGAAGCAGTAGGAACAGTGCGCTCATACCCAACTTTCAAGTGTTCGCGCGTAGTGTATACCGTATAGCATGGGCCCCGCAGTTGCGGATAAGATTCAGGGGGGGCGTCGGCAGTGTGCGAGGCTCGGAGGCAAATGTGGAGAAGGCCGCCGCAGGCGCCGAATGTGTAACACATGACGCAACACGCCCGCCGCAGGCAACGACTTTCAAGGCAATGTGGGTGGGCGCGCCGCAGACGCCGAGGCTGTTCAAAGCAAGGTGGGTGGGCCCGAGGGCGTGGTGCTGGCGGGTCGTGCGGGCGGGAGCGCGCAATGGTGTCCCACACAGCAGATGTAACATGGCTCGCCGCGGGCGCCGACTGCTGTTGACCGAAGTATTGATACAGGTGGGTCGCGGGTGGGTCGCGGCGCGGTTTTGTCACGGGTGGGGCGCGTCGCGGGTGGATCGCGGGTGGGGCGCGTCGCGGGTGGGTCACGGCGCGGGCAGCTTGCGGGTGGGTCGCGTCGCGGCATGCGTGGGTCGCGGGTGGGTCGAGGCGCAGGTGGGTCGCGGACTCGGTGGGCCACGGGCGGGTCGCGGGGCGAGTCGCGGGGCGACGACGATAACAGCAACGACCCTTTCACCAAGATGCTCGACGTGCCCAAATGCAACACGCGCCCCCTCGTGGGGACACAATTCCAGGCGTAGAGTTGGATGCGATAGTCCACTACTTTGATCTCCCGCTGGAACACGCATTGCCACAACCTGTTACGAGGAATTCGACCACCTTCAGATCAGAAGCCGCATCACAGCTGCAAACGCCCTGTGAGTGCTCTGTTTCTTAAATCGGGGAACGGAAAAACACATAAACAGAACAATTCGGAGGTCCGCGCGGGTTTCTTGGATCCGCGCTGGACCCCCCTCCCTGGCGCGCGGAGCGCGCCAGGGGCGGCGCCGGAGGCGCCGCCAGGGGGCCCCAGCGCCGATCCGAGAAATCCGCGCGGGCCTTAGAGCCTTCATGTTTATGTCATTGCTCGTTTCCCTAAATCGCCCTGTTCCTGTTCTGTTCCTTAATGCTGCCTCCTTCTCGGGTCGAACGAAAGGGGGGAATAGGGAAAGGGGGGGTTACGAAATCTGCTGCATGCAGCTGGTTTCGGCCCCGCCGCCTGGCCCATTCCTCGATACACGGGCGCCTCCCGGCGCCGGGAAGCGCTGGGAAAATCAGCTACGTGAGCTGATTCTCTACCCTACCCTTTGCTATCCCCCCTTTTCGTTCCCCCCGACCATCGCGCGCGCTGCGGCGTGGAACGGGCCGCGGCGCCGACGAGGCGGGCGTGTCATCGGAGGCGCGGGTGGCTGCGCACCGAGGCAAGAGCAGCAGGGACCTCTCGGAGGCTCGAGAACACTGGGGCGGCCCCAAGGCCCCCCCGGAAGCCCCAGAAGGCACCCCTCCTCCTTCTCCTTCTCGTCCTCGATCGTCGGACGACGACGCCGTCGACGACGGCGGCGGCGGCGGCGGCGGCAGCAGCGGCAGGGTGGCGACGGCAGGCGGCGACGGCGGCGGCGGCGGCGCCGCCGTGGGCATGAGGAGGTGGGCCCCGCTTTAGTTACACGGGCCATGGGCCCCAAGGCTTCCTGAGGCTCTTCGTCCAGATTTTTTTATTGACGACCCTGGTGGGCCCGGACGACGGCGGCCCCTGCGTGAGTGTGTACAGTGGCTACTGCGTGTAGGGGTTATCCCCTGCGCCTCGCCGCCGCGCGCGTGGCCGCGACGCCCAGAAAGTATGCACGCACACGGATTCTTTTGGGGGGCTCTTTCGACTGTCCTGGCGCCCTCTTGGTCCGTGTTGGGGCTCTCGTGGGCCGTCCGAGGGCCGCTTGGGGCGCTCTCGGGAGTCTCTGTGAGCCTCGTCGGGGCACGGCTGCAATAGGTTCAGCCTCCCGTCTCTGTCCCTCGAGGAGGGTCTCATGCGACCTACCTGGACCGTATTTTGGGCTGTCTTGGGCTCCTGCGGGGCCACCTTGGTGCCCTATCGCTCAAGGGAGGAAAAACCACCCGGACCGGACAATTGACGTTTTTTGAACGGCCTTGGGCGTTTATTAAACAGCCCTACCCTGTTCGATTCCTTCAGTGGGGGCGTTTAGTAAACAGCGTCGCGTGTCGGGGTGGTTATTATCGGGGTGGATTTTCTGCCCTCTACTTGTAGCCGTGTTGGGTCCTCTTGGGCCGTCTTTGTGCCGTCTTGGGCCGACCTCTCCGCCGCCTGGAGGGCCCCTGGTGCTGCTTCGGGGGCCTCCTCGGGGCCCCTCCTCGGCAGTCTTGGGGCTCTCTCGGGCGGTCCGGGGCCTTCTTGGGCCGTCTTGGGGCAGTCTTTGGGCTGTACTGGGCCGCCTGGGGGCTTTTCCGTAGTGTGGTAGAGTTGGTGAGCAGCAAATAGCAGAGTAGCAGAGCAGCAACCATTACCACCAACTCAGCTACCCTTATGGTTTATTTTATTTTATTCCATACGTGTGAATTCAACGTTGGTAGATATTCGATTGATTGCATTGCCCACGCTGACAACAAGGGCGTCAACATGGACGTGTCGGATCGACGATCATGTCGCAGATTTGGTAATAGGCCACTTGGATTTCTATCTTCTTGCATTAGGGTGGACGCACTGCGACTGGGGATGCAGTACCTCGTGGGGGGGACACTTCTTGGGCCTCTGGGAGTTCTTCGGGCAATCTCAGGCCAGCCGTGAGGCATCTTGCAGCCGCCGTGGAGCCGAGAAGAGCGTCATGGAAAACATAATGCAAGCAAGCGATTTTGCCAGTATGGGAGCGGGGGGGGAGGGGACGCCTCTGGAAAGCTAGTTGTATTTCCGGACAGTTGGACGGCGTGCTGACCCTCAGAGTGCAGCGGGCACGACTGATAGATGCCACCTCGCTGTGCAGGCATCGCTTGTTTTGGAAGTTGGAAGTGCCATGGCGTCAAGCTTTGAGGCGGAGGCGGAGGAGGAGGAGGAGGAGGAAGAGGAGGAGGAGGGTGAGGAGGAGGAGGAGGAGGAGTAGGAGGAGGAGGAGGAAGAAGAGGAGGAGGAGGAGGAGTTGGAGGCGGAGGAGGCGGAGGCGGGAGCGGAGGAGGAGGAGGAGGAGGCGGAGGCGGAGCGGAGGCGGAGGGAGGAGGAGGAGGAGGAGGAGGAGGAGGAGGAGGAGGAGGAGGAGGAGGAGGAGGAGGAGGAGGAGGAGGAGGAGGGAGGAGGAGGAGGAGGAGGAGGAGGGAGGCGGAGGGGAGGAGGAGGAGGATGAGGAGGAGGAGGAGGAGGAGAGGCGGAGGCGGAGGGAGGAAGTGGAGGCGGAGGAGGAGGAGGAGGAGGAGGAGGAGGAGGAGGAGGAGGAGGCGTTGGAGGAGGAGGAGGAGGACGAGGAGGAGGAGGAGGAGGGAGGAGGAGGAGGAGGAGGAGGAGGAGGAGGAGGAGGAGGCGGGGGGCGAAAGACTAGAGGCGGGGGAAGGGGGCGGGCCCCCACGCCTGTGCCCGGACACGCGCGCGCAGGCCGCATCCCGTGTCGGCAGCCTGGGCTGCCCGCAGGCCCCGCCAAGAGCGCCCCGACGGCTGCTGCCGCTTACCCGCTTACCTGTTCCAGATTCATGTGGTACAGTGGAGACCCATGAAAAGAAACACCCTGATTGCCTCCAGGGTGCCCTGGGTTTCAAGATGGTTTCGCTATGGGAATCGTGACGTCGCCACACCAAAATCAAGTGGAAGGTTTCTTGTGGACTTACCTCCACTGTATCGCTCGGGCCCGTGCATGTTCTCCCGGCGAGGACCATCGAGGCGCATCTCGACTCATCTGGTGGAAAAAGCAAACGCGCGACATCGAAAACTGCATGGGAAGTGGACGCCCGAGCGATGGCAAGTCCCACGATGTTCCCATCCGCCTGCGCTCGTAGCCGTTGCTCTTATGTGGGGCCCTCGTCGCCAAGGTCAGGAACACCATCAGAAGATTGCGAGTGCGGTGACCCGGAGGGGGTCTCTGTGCCGATTGGAGAGTTGGTTCTGACCAGAAGGACGCCGCAGCTCCTGTAGGGGAACGAAGAATGACATAAGCTAAAAACTCGGAGGTCCGCGCGGACCTCAGAGTTTTTTGTGTATGTCATTATTGGTTCCCCCATTATTTCCAAGGTGTGTGCGTGGGTAGCAGGATTGAGAGCCGAGCGGCACGCGACTTTCTGGCCCGCTGAGTGCAATCGTGACAGCACGCCGACCCCCAGAGGGAGCTCCGCTGCCTCAGCGGTTGACTCCGTATGTCCAGCGCGTGCGGGCCCCCTTCCTAGTAGTGTCACAGGAGTGTTCCTACGCGGCAGCAGCAGCAGCGCTATGGCAGGTAGGTCGGCGGGTTCTGTTTTGAACGCATGTCGTCTGCCGCGGTCATCGCCCCTCGCCGTTTGCACTCATCAGTTGAATTGCCCTCTTTCTGCGTACGGTCCTGAGCCTCAGCCCGTCCTACATCTTGGCACGCGTGCGCCTCTGAAAGTAGAGCATCCGCATAGACAGCCTGGACCATGACAGCATGCATTCACGTAGGTGTGCAAAGCACGTGTCCTTGGTTGGCAATCGCTCGTTGCTTTGCTGGTCCGCGTTTTGCCCCGTCGAAGCCTGGCTTGTTCCCCATTGTCCCTACGGTCGCATGCCTATGCAATTTTGCGCGCATGGACTGGTGCTCGCCTGCAGCGAGTCTCTTCGGCTTCTCGTTCAGATCTCGGCTGCTTGTTCCATTGCAGGCTATCTCGCAGCCTGCTGTGATACACGTGCGATGCGGCGAGGAGTGTTGTCAACTTGGCAGGGCTCTGATTCTCGTTTGCCGCCGCCGCCGTCCGGCATGCACCTTTTACAAACAGCGTCGCGTTACATTAAAATGCGTTGCCGCATTTTCATAATCGCGGCCCGCTGCTTGAGCTACCTCCTGCATTCGCTTTCTTGCTCAGCATGTCCACCTAGATATGGACTGTGCAATTCAGTGGACTGTTTCCAGCGTGGTTTGTCAGTGGCCTTCTTGGTGTGGGCATCCATGGCAACATGCCGCAAGCATGTGATGTCCAGAATATAACTGCCCACCTTGTACAACTATGTGAGACCTCCCCATGCCAAGAACAAGCGGAGCTACTTTTCGTATTTTGTTATTCTTTCGACATCACCTCCCCGCATCGGCACCCAACGTCTCAGGTCGGCCAGATGTGATTCATGCGGCCGCGGCCATTGCACGCCCCCTGGAAGCCAGCTTGTTCATCGCATGTGGGCTCCAAGCAACGGTAAGTGGAGCTGCCCGCGTCGGTGCAATAACGTGACTTGTCGATCGACGTATTTTCGGTTTCCCAGATCCCAGTCTACTTCTAGCGCCTTCCTACTTCAATCATCGGCATGGTCTTGATGTGTTTTGTTGTTCTCTGGGAGCGCCTGAACCCAATCTACTTTATCCGCCTTGCTACTTCATGCTCTTACTTACCTCTCCCGACCGACGTGCACGTTCGCGTTTTCCGTTACTCTCGAGTCCCTCCAGGGCGGAGCGGCTCAAGCAGGCCCCCAGGGCCTGCTTGATTCTATGCTGGACGACCCGCGCTCTTCAAGAGCTCCCGTGTGTGCGTTTTCTGCGAATCAGGCGAGCCAAGCGCTGAGGGGGTATGGGGGAGGAAGGCGTGGGCCTTCTCTGCAGATGTAGGGCGGGCGCCTTCTAGTAAGCAGCCTCCTTCTAAGAAGCCTTCCCCCCTCCCCCTGCCCCCTTGTGCGCGCCGCCAGTAAGAACAACCGCATAAGCATACACTTTCGGAGTTCCGCGCGGATTTCTGAAGTCGGCACCGGCCCCCCCCTGGCTGCGTCTCCGGCGCCGCTCCTGGCGCGCTCCGCCCGCCTGGGAGGGGGGGGGCCAGCACCGGTCCCAGGAGTCCACGCGGCGCTCCGAGCGTTTCTATGTCTCTGCGCAGGCGTTTTCCTTCCTCGCGTCCCCCCCCCCCAGTACAGCGTTTCGTGACTTATAGGGCCTATAGGGAGCTCCACCGAAGACGATACCTACAACTCAGGCGTTCACAGCTGCATATGGTTGGGCCCCTCGCCAGGCCATTTGTTTCCGTGCAGGCGTTCTCCTTCCTCTCGCTCCTCCCCCCCCGACAACGCCCGCCTCACCCAGCTGCTTAGCTCGGCCCTGGGCTACGGCATGCCCGCGACCACGCCGACCGTGAGCCCCTCCGCCCGGCTTCCAGGAGCTCCTGCCCGCACCCAGCCCGGCGGGGAGGCGGCACTTTCAGGGGCTTCGCTCCCGCGCCCGCCGCCCCGCCCCCCTCACGTCCTCGTGGTGCTCCCTGCCCCTCCTGCTCGCGCCTCCGCTCCCTCGCGTTGTTTGTTGTTGAAGACTCACTTCTGAAGAAGAATTATTGTTGATCCCCCCCCACCGGTGCATACGGTTTTTTCTCAATCAAAGTGTGCCCCTCGACGCTCGCACCCTGTTTTTTGACAGGGAAAGTCTTGATGCTCAAGCTGGGCCCCTGGCTCCAGGGTTACAACAACAACAACGGCTCCCGCTTTAGACTTCCTTACAATTTAGCCAGGACCCCCGCTCCCGCCCGACACTTCCTCGCATTTTATTCAGGAATCGCGCTCTCGCTTGGGACTTCCTTACACTTCATTCAGGAATCGCTCTCCCGGTGCTCTGGAGTCGCGCTCTCGCTGGAGACTTGTTTGGATTTTACTGAAGAATGACCTTGCGTTGGAATTTCTTGCAATTTGCCCAAGCGCCGCGCTCCCGACACCCAGGCACCCAGGAGTCGCGCCCGTTGTGGCCCAATGTGCATGCCCTTCGTGACCCCGCTGTCGCCATTTGTGTCCCCCTCGCTGTCCTACGTGTCCCAGTTGCCACCCTCAGTGGCCCCATAGTTGCCTTCTGTGGCCCCGCATTATCTGCACTTCGTGGCCCCCGCTCGTTCGCGCTCTTCGTGGCCCCATACGCATTCCCTTCGTGTCCCCGCTGTCGCTCTTCGTGGCCGCCCTTCGTGGCCCTGCTGTCGTTCTCTCTCGCTCTCGCTTTCGCTCGTTGTCGCCGTCGTCGTCGTCGTCGCCGTCGTCTTCGACGTCGTCGTCGTCGTCGTCGTCGTCGTCGTCGTCGTCGTCGTCGTCGTCGTGGTCGGTCCCCTGTCCGTCCCTCTTGGGGTCGGGTCGACGGTCCGCGGCCGCCCCGCCGATCAGCGCTGCCGCTGGCCAGGCCGACGGTCCGCGGCCGCCCCGCCGCTTGCCGGGGCCCGGCCTGCAGGGAAGAAAGGTATACCACCCAAAAGGGGTTCGATCGAAGACGAAGAGGGCGGGTATCGAGGGTTTGGGAAATACGCGTTATTGGACACTCGAGCATATAAGGGCGAACAGTCTTAGAATTATTGATTTTGTTGTTGTTGTTGCTGTTGCTGTTGCTGTTGCTGTGGTTGTTGTTGTTGTTGTTGGTGTTGTTGTTGTTGTTGGTGGTGTTGTTGTTGTTGTTGTTGTTGTTGTTGTTGTTGTTGTCGTCTGTTTCCTCTCTCCTCCTGCTGCTCCCTCCTTCCCCTCTGGCTGTACCCTCTCCTTCCCCCCTCTCTCTCTCTCCCTCAGGCTCTCTCTCTCTCTCTCTTTTGGTCTCTCTTTCTCCCTCTCTCTGTTGTTTTTCTTTTGTCTCTCTTTCTTTCTTTCTCCTATTCAAAGGTTCGAAAAGGCGAAAGCCACCTCAAGAGAGCAGGGGACGAACGAATCCCGCATCTCGCCACTCGCCGAGGCCTTCCACCGCCACGCCGACGAGCCGGCAAACAGCGGGAGCCCTCACGCACTTTGTACCACAGGACGCCATCGATGCGGCTAAGTGGCGACATAGATTCGCAGCCACGCGCAGGGGGGGTTAGGAGGAGGAGGAGGCGGAGGAGGAGGAGGAGGAGGAGGAGGAGGAGGAGAAGAAGAAGGGGGAGGAGGAGGAGGAGGGGGAGGAGGAGGAGGAGGATGATGATGATGATGAGGAGGAGGAGGAGGAGGAGGAGGATTTGGAGGAGAGGGTGGGGGGAGGGGGGAGGGCTTCTCAGAAGCAGCGCTGCTTCTTAGAAGGCGCGGGCCTTATCTTTAGATGTAAGGCTGGCGCCTTCTAATAAGCAGCCTCCTTCTAAGAAGCCGCCCCCCTCCCTCCACCCCCTTGAGCGCGCCGCCCAGATTCGCGGCCGTCCTTCACAGCATTGCGGTCGCGACGTATGATCACCGTCGCCACGCACTGCCGCTGTCGGTCAGACGAGCTGAATACTCCAAATCGGAACTCCGCTGGATGAAACCCAGCCCGCTCACTACAGGGGGCGGCGGGGATGAGCCACCAGGCCCAACCAGTGACCCACCCCACTCCCAAGGCCCGCCAGGGCTGGGGTACAATGACGAATTTGACGATCCATGGGGCATCCCTCCCGGCAACTTGGAAGGCGACGAGGAGGACCCGCTTGGCCTAGGGGGGCCCCTCGACAACGACGAGGACGGCACTCTTAACCCACCAGATGGTCACGACACGGATGGCGATTGCCCACCTCCACGTCCAAGCAGGCGCACGACAACAGCGACCCAGGAGGCGAAGGTCCGCCAGGACCCCACCTCAGGCACTCCACTGCGACCCGCGCGGGACAGCACAGGGGCGGACCACACGGGAGGCAGCACGGTTCCCACCGCCTCCGCCGACACAGACAGCCACACCCCAGCGCACAGCCGCGCTACGGCAGAGGGAAACAATTACTGAGCACTCCCCCTCCCCCCAAACTCAAAGGTGTCACGCGCGGGGGGGACTGCGGTCGAGGTGCAACTCATCAGGCCCACCGACAACTCTGAACTTTGGGGGGGAGGAGGAGGCGCTGACATATGAGTGCGGCATGCGTGTTTGCTATTCCTTTCCGAGGCCTGTAGCAACGCCGTCCACCTGGTAGAGGATCTGCGCATGGTAGGCCAGGGGCCGCGGACTGCGTCCCAGGAGCAGGCTCTGTCGCCACAGCCCGCTGGGTCGGCTGCTGCCGTCGCCGCACCAGTCCCGCACCGCAGCGTTTCCTGCCGCCAGGCAAATCCCCCGCCCCACTGGGGAGCGGGGAACAAGATACCCAGTATTAAGTCGGGCATGTCCCAATAACAGGAGGAATATTCAAACATAGGCCAAACATAGTATGGGGACTACGTTTTTTCCCACAAGCAAAAACTATTGTTGATCAATTTGAAGCATGTCTTGTCAATTATTATTTGTCGTTTAAAATCCGCCTGTAGGGGGCCATGCCCGACCCAACCCTAGTACCACTCACCAGTGTGTAGGCGCCCACGCGACACCAGTGCAGCGTACCTGCCAGAGGCGTGCCCTCACGGAACGCCTCATTACGGCCAGGCCGCAGGTCCACCACGATCGTGAAGTCGCGCTAACCAATAGCATCACGGCGCTGCTACAGCGCCCCTCCGGCCTCCCACTCCCGCTGCGCAGCATTCAGGAACGGTCCAGACCCCTTCTCGGCGGGAGCACAGTGCGCCTGGAACGGATTGCGACAGGCCTTCCGCACGCCTGTTCTCCCTGGGGCCTCTCTTCAAGAAGACCTTCAGGCGCGATTTGCTCCTCACCTCTAGCGCACGAGTGCTGGCCCCCTCCTTGCCCTTGCCGTGCGCTGCGAGAGCACCTGGCAACGTGTCCCGTGGACCTGGCATTGGGCCGCCGAGGGCGATGCGCAGACGGGTATGCCATGCCCCGATCGCCACAGCCCGCTCGTATTTGCGGTCGGGCCCCCCTCTTCGACCGCGACAGGGGGGGGGGGGGGGCACCTACGCCACCCACATGCGGCACCTCCCTCCGAAGAGGCGCGTGCATAGGGAGCTCGTCTCCTTCGCCCTTGGACCAGGCCTGGTCCGAATTGGCGTGCTCTCTCTCTCTCTCTTTCTCTCTTTCTCTCTCTTTCTCTCTCGCTCTGTCTGTCTGTCTGTCTGTCTGTCTGTCTGTCTGTCTGTCTGTCTGTCTGTCTGTCTGTCTGTCTGTCTGTCTGTCTGTGAGTCTGTGTGTCTGTGTGTATGTGTGTCTGTCCGTCTGTGTGTCTGTGTGTCTGTCTGTCTGTGTGTCTGTGTGTCTGTCTGTCTGTCTGTGTGTCTGTCTGTCTGTCTGTCTGTCTGTCTGTCTGTCTGTCTGTCTGTCTGTCTGTCTGTCTGTCTGTCTGTCTGTCTGTCTGACTGTGTGTCTGTGTGTCTGTGTGTCTCCCTGCCTGCCTGGCTGCCTGCCTGTCTCTCTGTCTCTCTGTCTCTCTCTATCTCTCTCTTTATCTCTAATTTTTGGTTGATTCGTTTTTGTCTCTCTCTCTCTCACTCTTTGTCTCTCTCTCTCTCTCTCTCTCTGGGAAAAGTCTTGCGACCTCCTGCCAACGCCGCTGCTGGCGCCGCAGCCGCAGGCCGCGGGCACCCGCCCCGCCGCTGCGAGCGCTCCGACCACAGCTAGCGCCACGGCTGCGACCGGCCCCGCCACGGCGCCCCAGCTTGGCGCCGACCCAGGTCCAGTGGCGGAGGTTGCCGCCAGCGCAAGCCTGCGGCCACTGCAGGCCCTGCACAACAACGCGACGCTGCCGGCGGCCCAGCCGCAGCCAGCGAAGCCGACGCCCCGCCGCAGCGCTGCAGGGTGGCTCTGACTTGGCGGCTGCCCCCACGGCCCTGGTCATCGCAGCGCTGGAAGCCGCCGCGGAGGCTGCGCATCAGCGCGACACCTTGGACCTCCCGAGTAACGATTCGGATGATGTCCCCAGCCATGGAGCAGGCCGCGGTGATCCTTCGGGGCCCGCCCAGCGCGGCGGATCACGGTTTCGCAATCCAGGCGCCCCTGCGCCCCGCAGCCAGTGGCCGTTTCTCCAAGGCCAGTGCTGCCTTCTTTGGCAACGGCGGCACAGGCACTGCCGTTGCGGCCCCCTCGGCACCGCGCTGGGCATGCAGGCCGCCAGCGTGGGCGGCCCCGCGCAGGAACGGTCCGCCGGACCCCGGGGTCTCAGCCGCCCATGGCCAGCAGGCGTTTACGGCAGCTTACCACCGGCCCACAGGGGCAGGCTGCAAACTGGGCAGCGGCCCCAGCAGCAGGCGAAAGCCATGCCGCTCCGCCTGCCACCTTTGCAACAGCCCCCGCGACCACCGCAGGCCCCGGAGGCCCCGACGTCATCGAGGAGCGCCACGACGACGGCGACCTCGCAGAGGGAGCGGGGCCCGGGGAGGCCGCCGCGCCCCCGTGGACCCGCCGCTCGACGCTGCGAGCGGCGCCAGCGTGGCGCAGTGCACGCGCGCGCGCGTGCTGCTCCCGCCTCGGACAGGAAGAGAGGGGGCATCGTCGTCGTCGCGTGGGCGGGGGGGGCAGGAACGGTCGTGCCTGCTCTAGCCGCCGCTGCTTCGTTGCCTCCATTTCCAGGAAATCGTGTTTTTGTGTGTTTTCTTTTCTCCTGGCGCTTCTGTTTTCGCTAGCGGGCTGGGAGAAGCCCCCTCCCTGCGACGCCCTCAGCTTCGCTGCAGCTGAACGTCGGCGCAACAGTGCCGATGCCCGCCACGATGCCCCCAAGCTGAGGGCAGATTCCAGCCGCCCGCGCGGGAGCGGGCCCAACCGCGCGAAACTGGTCAGCTTCCACGTCACCGGCCTTGACGCGCACTGGGGCGAGCTGGTAAATTTCCGCAACCACTACAACGCCTCGGTCCTGGCCGTCCAGGAGGCCCGGCGCCCGCCGCACCGCCTCGCTGTCTACGACCAGCGCGCGCGCTCTGTCGACCATGGCTCCTGGATCCCCCGCTGGGGCGCGCCACCTCCAATCGCGCGCGTCGCGCGGCGAGCCCGCAGCGGAGGGGCTGGCCGTCGTGCGCCATCCACTTGCGCCTAACAGGGCGGCGTCTGCGTCGCGCAGGGGGCCATTGTCGACGCGTTTAAAGATGGCCCACAGTGGCAGCGTTCCGCCGCACTACGCGGCGGTGCGAAGCCTGCGTCTCCGTCCCTTCCCTGGGGGGCCGGGGCGGCCTGGCGGCTTCTACGGTGACTCCATATGCGGGAAGAGCAGGCGCCTGGACTGGCGGGCCGAGTAGGTAACTTGCCGCGCCTCGTTTTCATGGGCGCCCCAATAGGCATCCTCTGCTCCGAACTCTCGACGAGCATCGAGCGCGCGGGCCGGGCGAGATGTCGCCGAGGGTTGCCAGGGGGGTCCCTGGAGAACGCGCCCCTGCGTTCGGCGTGCGCACTGATTGGGGTCGGCGCTCCCGCGGCGATGTCAACGCGCGAGTTGATGGGATTTTCGCCAATCGCGATGATGATGATGATGATGATGATGATGATGATGATGATGATGATGATGATGATGATGATGATGATGATGATGATGATGATGATGATGATGATGATGATGAGGATGAGGATGAGGATGAGATGAGGATGAGGATGAGGATGAGGATGAGGATGAGGATATGATGATGATGATTATGATGATGCTGATAATGCTGCTGCTGATGATGATGATGATGACGATGATGTTGATGATGATGCTGATGCTGATGAATATGCTGATGATGATGACGATGCTGCTGATGATGATGCTGATGATGATGCTGATGATGCTGATGATGATGCTGCTGCTGCTGCTGATGATGATGATGATGATGATGATGATGATGATGATGATGATGATGATGATGATGATTATCATGATGATGCTGATGATGCTGATGATAAGGGGGCGGAGGAAGAGGAGGAGGAGGAGGGAGGAGGAGGAGGAGGAGGAGGAGAAAGGAGGAGGAGGAGAAGGAGGAAGAGGAGGAGGAGGACGGAGGAGGAGGAGGAGCAGGAGGAGCAGGGGCAGGAGGAGGAGGAGGAGGAGGAGGGGGAGAGGAGGAGGCGGAGGAGGGAGGCGATGGAGGAGGAGGGGGAGGGAGGGAGGAGGAGGAGGGGGAGGAGGAGGAGGAGGAGGAGGCGGAGGCGGAGGCGGAGAATGAGAGAGGAGGAGGAGGAGGAGGAGGAGGAGGAGGAGAGGAGGCGGAGGCGGAGGTGGAGGCGGAGGAGGAGGAGGAGGAGGGAGGAGGGAGGGAGGAGGCGGAGGCGGCGGAGGAGGAAGAGAGGAGGAGAGAGAGGAGGAGGAGCAGGAGGAGGAGGAGGAGGAGGAGGAGGAGAGGAGGAGGAGGAGGAGGAGGAGGACAGCCCCCTTCCCGGGGCTCCGTTGACAGGGGGCATCCAGGCGACCGCGCCCGCGCGCGCGCGCGCTCGCCGCCTCGCTTAGCTTACGCTCTCGCTGCTGGGCGGAGGCATGTTCGGGGACTTTGCCCAGAACGTGGTGCCGGACTCCCTCAGGCGGGCCGCGGGCCGCCGCCGCTTCACCTATCGCTCAACGTATCCGCGTAACCTATCCGCTTCACCTCATCGAGCTCGTGGGGCGGGGCATGAGCTTAACCTGTCGCTTGACGAATCCCCATCGCTTACCTGCTCGTTGCGCGAGCAGCATTCGCTCGGATTCCCACCGCCTGCGCCTGCAGCTGTCCAGCCAACAGGGGTAGCGGTAACCGCCCGAGGCGCCCCCAAGGGTAGCGGTAACCGCTCCATTATATCGGGGGCAGTGAGGATCAGCATCGCTTATCTTATCACCATCCCTACTGGGCCATGGCATCCCAGTCCCACCAGCCCAACATCCTAAACTACACTGGAAAAATAATGCAACTCTCGCGCGCGTTCCGTCTCCCCGCGCCCCTCACTTTCATCATTGTTCGCGCGGAGCGCCGCGCGATCCGATTTCTCCGCCGTCGGCCTCGGCTGGCTCGACGTTGAGCTCGAGGGTCCTCCAGGGGTGGGGTGGGGGGCCGGAGGTCAAGAACCGAACGAAAAATGGTCGCACTACTTCTCCACGGGTTTGTGGGAGGGGATCGGCCGCGCGAAACCCGAAGGGAACAGCATATCTCCGCATCTGGGGTGGGTGGGAGGCGTCGGCCAGGGGGGCCAAGGCCATGCCAGTAAGGCCGGGCATCGCTTCACAGCTGCTCAGAGCGCGCTGGGTGGTGTGGGCAGAGCCTCGGAGGTCCCCGGGCCGGACACGAGGCGACCAGCGCGGAGAGCCCCGAGGTCCCGGCGCTGCAGAAAAGTTGCCGCGTCGCGGGCGGTCGCGGCTGGATCGGATTGCCGGCGGCCGCCGCCCAGAGAGATCATCCCGGCGAGCGGCCGAGGGCTCTGGGCCGCGATGCATGGGGGCGGGCGGTAAACTCGGCATCGCTCGGACGTGTGCATTTCCCCGTCGGCGAGGACCATCGAGGAGCATCCTTGATCATTTGGCGAAGAAGCCGGAAAACGCACAGGGAATGGACGTCCGAGCGATGGCGAGTCAAAGGGGGGGGGAGGGGCAGCGAGGGCCGCGGAACAGGAGCCCTGTAGGGCCCTTGACCCTGGAAGCGCTTTGGGGCCTCCGAGGGGGCCTTTCGCGCCCGAGAGGGGCACCTGTCTCCCCCCCCCCCCCCCCGCGTGGACCGCCCCCCCCCCCGTCACTTCGCGTCCGAGGCTCGCTCCGTGATGGCCGCCCGCTCCCTCTGGCGCCGCCTGTAGGGCTCTGGCCCGGCCTCGGGCGGGCGCGCGGGATCGCTGCGTGGTGGTCCAGGGGCCCGAGGGCGGGCGAAGAAAACGCCCGATGGTCGGGGGCGGAGAAGAGGGGGGTGATGACTAGTGGGGGGGGGGGATAACATGGCGGGGGGCATGATATTTCCCCAGATTTCATGGCGCCTCTTCTTATTTCAATACGGTCCCGGCCCCCCCGCTGGGCCGCGCACATGCCGCCGGCCATGATTTGCACTTCCCCCTCTTGGACACCCCCCTCTTGGCCGCTCCCGAGATGGGACAGAGTTGCCCCGGCCGCACGAGAGGGTGGGACAGGGAAGCCCTGAGATCCTGGCGGCTCCATTTTTTCGAGCCGGCGCTGTCGCTCCATTTCGGGCACGGGGACCCTCACAGATCGATCCGGCTCGAAAAATGACGCAGAAGGATGGGGTCCGGGGTTTGGTCGTGATTTTCCTTGCGATGCTGCGATTTGTTTGCGACGTCGGATCTCAGCAAAGGGCAGATGACACCATCTGCTGCGTGCAGCTGGTTCCGCTCCGCCGCCCGGCCCACTCCTCGATGACACACGGGCGCTTCCCGGCGCGTGGAGGCGCCAGGAAGGCCAGCTGCGTGAGCTGAGTCTCTACCCTGCCTTTTGCTGTCCTGCCTTTTCGCCCCCCCCGAGGTGCGACTCCAGGACCTCAGGGAGCGCGTAGGGGCAGTGAGCGCTCGAGGGTGGGGGGGGGCAGAGACTCGGAGGTCTTGGGGCGAGCCGCGGGGCGACTGAGGCGAGTGCTGCCCCTCGGCATCCGCTCGAGAGCCGAGGCTCTGGGAGCACTGTTCAGCCCACATAGCAAGGATGCGCGATTGTCCAAGGTTGCCGTTGCATCCTTTTCTTCGGCCCATCCTTGGCCACTTTCCCTGGCCGCGCCCCGCCCGCAAACCGTCTGCATGGCCTTCAAAGGTCCTTGCATTCGTATCGTGCGTCCTGATTGTACGGGTTGACTGTACGTGTCTAGGACTCTCAGGTGGGGTCCGAGTAGATGGGGTCGGAGGATCGCGCTGCAGCGCCGATACATCGGCCATGCGCCATGCGGTTCGACGTGGGGCCCGATCTTCTTCACGCCGACGTCGCCGCTGCGTCGCCCACGTCGCCGCTGCATCGCCGAGGAGTCGGCGATGCATCGCCGATGCGGCGCGACCCTCCGACCCCGTGCGCTCGGGCCCCATCTGGGAAGCCCCACCGTGGTGTGGGCTCGGAGGGCCAGCGCCCGGAGCGGGAGGAGCCCCTGGCAGGGGCAGCGCACAGGGCGCGGCGCGAGGTCTGGTGCGCGGCGGCCGTGCGCCCCCGCCGCCAGAGCCTCCGTGGCCCCTGCGGGTGCGCCCGTGTTGCAACGCAACGCGTCCCGTGTTGGTGATCGTTTTTGTTGATTCCTTGTTTTGCCGATCGGCGCGGGCCCTCGCCCCCCCCCCCCCCTCCCCCCTCCCCTGGAGAGGATCTTGGCTGTTTTTTGGCGCCCGTTCCGAGCGGGTGGAGCCTCCCCCATAATGGACCTCGCCGTCCCAAACAGTCGCGCTGAGCAGAGGTCCGGAGCCGGACCCTCCCCCCCTCCCCCCTTTCCGCCCAATGTCGAAACGCCAAACAAAAACGTTCACTTGAACAACATGCGACGAAAACTGGACCGTCGCAATCCAGGACGGGCTCGTCAAAAGGCGTCGGCAAACCCGAGTTCCGGCGTGCTCGAGTCTCCATGCGCTGAAGATGCACCGACCGCGCCCGTCTATTCGCCTGCGTGGCAGCGCGGGCACCACGACTCTTACACGGACCAAGGGACGCCCCGTGTTCGAAGCGTACCTGCGGACACGCTGCGTGTTGGCTCGGCACGTGTCGGCCCACGCCGGCGCGCGTATCACGCCAGACCTACCGTGTCTCGGTCTGCGTGCCGAGCTCTCCGTGTCGACACTCTGCGTGCTGCGTCCCGGGGCAGCCAAGCCCCGTCTAAGTCTAGCTTGTCCCCAAGGTTCCGTGTGTTCTCGGCGGGTTCCCAGCTGCCCGTGCCTGGACACGGATATCTAAAAAGCCTCGGTAGCCGTCGTCTTCGGGCGCGCGCGCGCCCTGGGGATCTGCAGCGGCGGCAGCCGCCCCCAGAGGCTGGGCTGGGGGGTCGAACCTCGCGGGGAGGGGGCCATGATGGGGGTGGTCGAGGCTTTCGGACGTCTTCGTCGGTTCTCGGCAGGCTCCCAGCCTCGGGATGCTTTCCAGCAGCTGCGCCTCGTCGAGACCATTCCGGGGGTGCCCGCATTACCCGGCACGGCCTCCGGAGAGCCGAGCTATGGCCCGAAAGACGCATCGACACCATCCAAAACGGGCTCACACCACGTGTGCGTCGGCGCCGCAAGGGCGACTCGCACGCTCAGAGCTCTGTGGCGGGCGCTTTCTGGCCGCCTTACCGCTCGGGAAACGACATGCTGTAAGTTTTTCGTAGTATGTTCGATGATCCTCAGGACGTGTGTTAGCCCAAAATGTGTTAACCCCCTGTAGCCCAATCAGTAGATCATTACATCGCCTGGGTCGTGTCGAAGGGCCTCGGTGGACAAACACACGTTGGGGCTAACACACGTGCTAAGGATCATCGATATATGCCCGTGTCGGACGTGCGCCTCTGACGCAAGCACGAAGCACCAGCAGCAGTGGTCTCCTGCGTCCCACCGTAGGGCAGCGCTAGGGGGCCCGCTGCCTCCTCTGTGCAGGTGCCAATGCCCTTGGTCTTGTGATCGTTTTTGTTGATTCCTTGTTTTGCCGATCGGTGCGGGCCCTTGCACCCCCCCTCCCCCTCCCCCTGGAGTAGATCTTGGCTGTTCATTGGCGCCCGTTTCGAACAGGTGGAGTCTCCTTTCATAGGAGCCAGTGCTGCAAACAGTCGCACTGAGCAGAGGTCCGGAGCCGGACCCCCCCCTCCCCCCCCCTTCCGCCCAATGTCGAAACGCTGGGTAACAAAACGCTCACCTTCCGCGCTCTCCGCCCCGAGCAGCCCCGCGCCTGCCGACACAGCCCGCTGCCCCCCCTCGCGCCCGCTGCCTCGCCTCGCCGCGGGCGAGCGCCGAGCCTCCGCGTGCCCGCGCTGCTCCGGCAGCCGAGGGTGCTTTGGGGGAGCGGCCGGGGAAGTGGGGGAGGGCGTGCGGGCGATGGGCCGGGTGTTGCCAGCAGTGCCCCTGGCCCAGGGTGCCCCCAGGATTCTCGGGTTGGCCCAGGCGGCCTCCAGAGCAGCCCTCACGAGGCCCAGAGGGCCCCAGGGCCTCCAAATGGAGCGGAAAGCTGGGGGCACCCTGGGCCAGGGGCACTTCTAGCAGCACCCGAATGGGGAGCGGGGCGGCGAGGCACGAGGAAGGCGAGGGGGTGGAAGGGAGGGAGGGGGGAGGCCGTAGGAATGGAAGGGGTGGGGGCTACACGGTCGGGGACTCTGGCTCGGCGTGTCGCTCCGCCGCCTCTGGCCCACCGCGCTTCGGTGCGACGCGCTGTCCGCGCCTGGCCGCCCAGCGTCAGCGTCCCGCGCTTTCCCGCGCCTCCCGCCCCGATGAGCGGAACGACACGCCATCCACTCGCAGGGCATGGCGTGTCGCCGGGGCCGCCGCCGCGAGACGCCAGACGCTCCCGACCAGAAGGCCTGGCCAGATGAGGAGGTGGGTCCGTCAGACTCGTCGAGGCCGTCGGGTCGTCGATTTCTCTTTCTGGTGGCTGCTGCTTCTATCGCTCGCCGTGCCGTGCCCGGATCTGGGAGCCCCGGATGGGAGGGCAGCGAAGGACCGGGAGCACCCGTGGCTGTCCTTCGGCGGCGAGCCCGGGGGGAAGGGGGAAGGGGCGGGCCTCCTCGGAAGGCGCGCAAGTCCCTCAGCCCTCTGAGAAGTCGCCTCAGCCATCCCCGAGGACACAGGAAGCTTCTCAGAAGGCGTGAGGGCCTCCCGCCTTCTGGGAAGGCCTTCTCCTTCTCTT